CCCTTTTTAATTTGCATTGTTTGGGGGTACCAGGGATTGAACTCAAGGGCACTCAACTACTAATCCATATCCCTAGCCCTATTTTTTATTTTATTTAGAGACAGGGTCTTGCTGAGTTACATAGTGCCTTGCTTTTGCTGAGGCTGGCTTTGTACTCAGGATCCTCCTGCCTCAGCCTCCTGAGCTGCTGGGATTGCAGGCATGCGCCATGGCATCTGGCCACTTCCCATTATTTTTTAAAGCAAATACCTGGGCTTTGGCTTGCTTATATTTTGCTCTTTCTTAAGACTATCTCAGCATTCCCTAGATTACCCTAAAATACAAAAGCTGACTCCCTATCTCATATTTGGCCAAAGCCTATATCTCTTCACAGCTTTATCCCCTAGTGGCTGGTTTAAAGACTTGCTCCCAATTATCAATTCACTTGAAAAAAAAAAATGAAATCGCTGGCTGATTCTAAGCCCAACACAGAAGCAAACCTTCCTCAGCTTAGCCTGTTTTCACAACCAAGGAATTGATCTTTAGGAATCCAATCCATGCAATAATCAACTTTATTTAAACAAATTCAAGTGTACATTGAAACATACATAATAATGTTTTTATCAATAGAAGATGATCCATCCTTAGACATGAAAAGTAAAAATAGTTTATTCTCAGATTTCCCATTGTGTGTTAGTATTTGCAACCAGGTCTATATCCAAGTAACGGGAAAAAAGCTGGCAATCGTTGCTGTGCAGTTATGTCTTATTAGGTGAGTCAGCTAATTACATGGCTCTGCCATTAATGTGGCAGCCACTGAGCTGCTTACCAAGGAGAATTAGAATCTAAGATGGAACTACTTCTCTGCTATGTAATGAAAAGTTCTTCTTAAAAATAAGATTACACTGATTCCTAATTTATGTATCAGTTATTTTTATAAATTATGATTGTCCTATATAGAAACAGAATGTATTTAAAATTATTTAAAATGATTCCGTAACAGTACTTACAAATAGCTTTCATAAATAACCCTCAAATATGTTGAATGCATAGGCTTACTTTCTCCTCATCCCAAACTTAAAAGGAACAAGATAAGCTAGTTTTCATTTCACTGGTTCACTTTATCTTTCTCTTGCTCTGAGAAGATTACCAAGACTAAAGAAATAGCTAGAAGGGCAAAAAGGCAAGAAAATGAGTAATGTGGTAATATTATTCAAAGTATAGCATTAGAGGCTTCCAAATACATTCTGTTTCTATGTAGGACTAGTTCTTTCAAAGCATCATTTAATTAAAATCTGCATTCTTAATCTGAAAAGGCTCCCAGACAGTATAAACTGTGGACAATGTGTTTACTATATAACTTACAGTGCTTACCACTTTGACTCTTCCCAAGTGACCCAAATGGTTGATACATAGTAATGTGTCATTTACTGAGACACAATCTGAATAGGTATATACCATAGCTGAGGTAGGGTAAGTCACTTTGCCTATAAGGTGGTCTGGTCTCCCAGTTGACTCAGGAGTCACATTTTGACTAAAAGTTATGGCTAGGTATTGCTTGTTGTGTCTTAAGTAATGTCTGATGAATATCATATGCTATCATTTCACTTTTTAATTAGGAGATTTAAGATAGTCTTGGGAGATAGCACCAGAGGTAATCAGTGGCTTGCTATAAATTAACATAAATTGCAGTGTAAAAGCAGGGATTTGAAAGGTGCATCTCTTGCTTTGAATGCTTAAAGTCTACATGCCAGGTAATTGATGAAGCCCTACCATTATAAATAAGACCATGTTGTTTCACAGTGTCTTTTGAAAACCCTGACTCTTTGCTAGCTTTTCATAGACTTCAAAATTGAAGACATCTTTTACCTTAATGTAGTCACAATGACAGTACATTGCTGTACTCTTAAACTAAATGACACCGCAGAGTTTACAAATGGTTGCTGATATTGGGCAGTGTTTTCCAAGGAGTGTACTTAACAAGACATTTACAAGACCCTAGAAACTTGTATTTTTAACAAGGACTCCAGACAATTCTATGTTTTGCTTGAGACTGTGGTTTGGGGAAGCCATTTCTATCTTCCTTATGTGCCAGACTAAATATGTAATAAAATTAAATTATGTCATGGAATCAAAAAATTTTAAAAACTATAGAAAGAATTAATAGACATATAAATACAATAAAATTTAAAACATGAAATGAAATGAAACATTATCTACTCATAAAGACAAGTATCCTAAATAAAACCTGCTCAATGTGAAACATTTAATGGTAGAAATATAAATCGAATTAATTAAATTTGATGTGCCTCTTGAATCATAGTTTGGTCAAGAAAAGAGACTGCACTCTGTTTTCTAAATATGGAAGTTTGCAATAAAGGGAATTATTCCCTCACACAGCCAAGGGAGGCCCTGGAAGTCTGCGAGGCCACCTCCACCTTGCTCGGGAGGCAGCAGCAAGCTCTGGCTCTCACCCTGGTCCTGAAGCACACTGAGTGGTCAGCTGTGTGTCTCTCCCACAGCTGAAATTTGTTTCTGTTTCTCCTTATCCTTCTTCCTTTCCCTCACTTTCACGTCCTTGGAATTGTACTTCCCAATAAAGTATTAGCCTAGTCTGAAGATTGGTTTTATTCAGAAAGTCAGCTAAGACAGACTTCAGGTGGTCATTGGTTCCATGCCCCACCAACATTTACCACCATTAGAATTATTAATCTATCAAATGGATTAACCCACTGATGAGGTTACACCCCTCATGATCCAATCATTTTATGTCTGAACATTGCTGCTGCATTGACTCACATGTGCCTTTTGGAGGACATTCCAGATTCCATCCATAACATTGTGATTACATTCTTCCTGATCAATTCTAGCCCTGAGTTCTTGTTTCCATGAAATAATCCTTCTCTTCCCTGTACTTTACCTTTTCCATCTGGCAGCTTCCTGTACTTAACATTGTGTGTCAAGCTTCAATAAAGAATTAGAGACAACAAGGTTATGTGTGAGAGGCCAGGTAGGATAGAAGTGTTGTATTGCAGCACAGGACTGGATTAAAAATAGGATATTGCATATCCGATATACTTCACTTCTTCTTATAGTATGTGGGCTATTTTCATTACAGGAATTATTGCTGAGGTATTCCTTTCTTTTCCACTGCTAAATGCTTCCAAATACACATGCACATCCAGATCTAGTAACTTTCACCAGCCCTAGTTGAAGGGCAGTAACTCAATTGTAATAATTAATAATAAGCAGACCAGGTTGGCCATATTTACTAGTCCAGTCTGTGTCAAAACTTTCTAATAAATTACATTAGAAAATTAATTTTCTACTTGTTAGTTTTAAAATACATGGGCTAGGGATGTGGCTTAGTGTCTGCTTGGTATGTATGAAGCCCTGGGTTTGATCCTCAGCTCTGAAAACAAAAACCCATGAGAACCAAAATTTGGCCTTATTTTTCACATACCTGTCACTAACAGTTATCTATATATCAACGAAGAGGTTAATGTTGTCAGATGCAAAGAAAGTATTGCTGTCCATTTTATTTCTAAGTCTAGTTGATGCTTAGAGAAGCATAAAAACACTAAAAAGCATAAAAGCCCAAATTCACAAAAGATCAGTAATAGAGAGAAGCTAAAAGTCTTGTGATACTACAGTCTTTGTGCCTAACTACCACATAACAGAACTTGTATTATTAGACCAAAACATGAAACACTATGAAAACAATATCTATTCCATATTTAGAAGTGGGGTGGTTTAGAAACAGTTTTCATTGTATTTAATTTATAAATAACTTACACTTTGGGGTGTGTAAAAAGGAAGGGAGTCAAGGTAGGATAATATATAAACTTCTCTGCTCACCTACCTGTGATGTTTAGTTTAATGTTTTCTTACTGTGAGCCACTTCCTTATCCTCCTGCCTACCTGTCAGTTACGTTCATGATGAAGGCAGGGGAAGAAGATATTATTTATATCAAACATATTGTTAAAATTAAGCTGAGGGACCATTGGATCTCTTTAAGCACATTTATGTCCTCGTTGTCTCTCTGCTCTTTGAATTTTTGATTAATTTTTTCATTTAGAAGCAAAAGGTATTTAATGAAGAATACTAATAAAGCCATGACTATTTCAGGCCAAATCTGATCTAATATTTCTATGAAGAGATAACTTTGAAAATTAGTCTGATCGTGCATTTTATTTTCTTCTTTCAAAAATATGTAGTCCAAATCTTCACATTTCGGACAATAATTTGTTTGCCATCACTTTACAATAAGTTGTAAGACAAGTATGTTATTTGTATGTTTATGTTATAAATAGTAGTATAAGAAAAATTCAGGAAAAAATAAGAACATACATATCTGTCCAACAAAATACTTGCAATATTTTATTGTATTTTCTTGCAATCATTTTACTCTTGCAACTGAATTCTACATAGATTTTATCTACAATATATACAATCCTTTATATCCTGCTACAGATTATGCCACACATTCTCCTTTTGCTGCATAATTCTCATGTCATAATACATGTCTTCCTAATGACTTATTGAGTAGTTGAATGATAATCGTATTGACTCCACATCTCCCAATTATCAGTTAGTTTTTTAATGTTGGCATTGATCTAGTGCTAAAAATCTTTGAACTATAATTTTGGACTTTTGTGAGTTACTTGGGCAAAAACTTTGTGTACTTTTAGGATTTATAACCCATGTTGCCATGTTGTTTTCCCAAGAATGTTTTATAATTAGAAGGCCAGCCATAATGTAAAGGAGTGCCGAAAATTTGTACAGCATCCTTGCCATCATACAAAATATATAGAGATTTTGAAAAAAAAGTTATTTTATATATAATGTAATATATAAATTTATAATAATTTTTATATATTTTTGAATTTATATTATATATATTTTGAAAAAATTATTGTATATATTTTATATAAAATATGATTTTTTTCAAAATGTGCTTCACAAATGAAAAATTGTACCTCATAGCATTCTGTTTTGTGTTTCTCACTTTAAATATTAGAGTGAAGAAGGATCCCCACAGGAAGGAATTCTGGAAGATATGCCAGTGGAACCTGACAATGAGGCTTATGAAATGCCTTCTGAGGTAAAGAGTTATATGCAAAACACTCCAAAATTAAAGTTTATGAATTTAAGTTGAGTCTTCCTAGTAGGAAGTACCAAAACTGTCACTGTCAGATTTCTTTTATGTTAGAATCTGTGTAAGTCCATCAGGAGAAGATTTTTTTTTTTTTTAGGAGGTGAGGTTGATCTGGTGGGAAAGGGGTAGGAGATACAATAGGTTAAAATGAGGCAAGAACATTCCAGCACAGGGATATATCAGAAGCAAAGGCATGTAGGTCTGTGCATATGGAGAGGTCTGAGGAACAGTAGTTGTGATTCAAGTTTAGGAAATAGATATAATAGCAGCAAATTAAGATTACAGATGTGGATACTATGGTGCATGCATGTAATCCTAGCAGCCCAGGAGGCTAAGTCAGGAGGACTCCAAGTTCAAAGCCTGCCTCCGCAACTTAGTGAAGCCCTGTCTCAAAAAAAAAAAAAGAAAGAAAGAAAAAAAAGTCGGGGGCTGAGGATGTGGCTTAGTGGTTAAGCAACCCTGGGTTCAATACCCAGTGCCAACAATAAATAAATAAATGAAATATTACAGAAATGGTTTAAAGATGAATTGTAGAACATCAGGACAACCATGTAGTTTGTTTTTACTTTATTCAGAAAGCAACTGGAGATTTTAAAGATATGTTTAGTTTTAAGCAGACTCCTAATCTTATTAGAGTTGGCTTTTAAAAGCACTTATATGGGTCTTTTAGTTAAACACATTAATATTTTTATTGTGGATACTACCTAAATATTTTATTGATGAATTTGGCTTTAGAATAAAAATAATCATTGAAGCCACAGGTGAAGATGAAATTTGCAGTTGAGAGAGTGAAAGGAAAGAAAATATATCTATTCTTTAAATGTCTTAAATTTCTATTAAGAATTAGAGAATTTAGTCCTGAATTTAGCCTTTAAGAGGTTTCATAAGCCATTTTATTTGGCTTTCAAATTTTGTAATTGAGAAAATTGAGAGCAAGAGAGTTCCACCAATATGTTCTATAGGACTAGGTCACATGGATATTAAATGGCACATCTGGAAATAGAACCAGAGACCTTAATTCCAACAATTACCATAATTGACTTTCATATCTGACAAATAAGACAAATTATTAAAATTATGACTGTATCTGTTTGTAGTAGAATAGTTCCAAACTATCATGAGTATAAATTCTACTCAAAATGGTGAGCCATGCCCTAATTTGCTCTAAATCCTTGATTACTGATTGCTTGCTGTCTGTTTGATTTTCCTTATTAGGAAGGCTATCAAGACTATGAACCTGAAGCCTAAGAAATATCCTTGTTCCCAGTTTCTTGAGATCTGCTGACAGATATTCCATCCTGTACAAGTGCTCAGTCCCAATGTGCCCAGTCATGACATTTCTCACAGTTTTTACAGTGTGCTTTGAAGTCTTCCATCAGCAGTGATTAAAGTATCTGTACCTGCCCCCACCTAGCATTTGGGTGCTTCCCTCTCACTGAAGTGAGTATATGGTAGCAGGGTCCTTGTGTGCTGTGGACATTGTGGCTTCAACTCTAAAATGTTAAAGCAAATTAAAAACACCTAAGTGACTACCACTTATTTCTAAATCTTCACTATTTTTTTGTTGCTGTTGTTGAGAAGTTGTGATTTACTATCATATAAGATTTTTAGGTGTCTTTAATGATTCTGTCCAAGAATAATGATGTATCGTGAAATTTGTTAATATATACAATATATAAAATATGTGAGCATGAAACTATGCACCTATAAATATTAACTATGAAATTTTACTGTTTGTGATGTGTTTTATTAATTTGTGTTTGTATATAAAATGGTGAAAATGAAAATAAAATGTTATCTCACTACAAAAATATTTTATCTTATCCCATCTCACTTTAACAATAAAATGATGCTTATAACCAATATGAAATGAGAGCTGACATAATGAACTTACATTTAAAGTTCTCAACAGCCACTTGAAGAAGGAGGCATTTGAGAGGACTTAGAAGAGATGAAAAAGTAAGTCCACACTCAGAATTCCCTGAAACAACACTACCTCATGGGTGTTTTGATGTACATTGGTGCTTTAAATGGCTGTACTGAAAAGTGGATTCCCCGGAAACCAATGTGATTACATTTGTTTACATCCCCTATAGATATTCATTAAGATGTTACAGCAAAAGCTCAGAAAACCTGCTTACTTAATCCGTGGTGCATGCATGTAATCTTAGCAGCCCAGGAGGCTAAGTCAGGACAACAACCAGTAACAACCACCACCAATAGCTTCAAAAAAAAAAAAAAAATCTAAAATCCCCACTCCCTACCCCAGGAAATGCTTTTAAAATCATCTCTGGCCTAGGGTGTTGGCACGCGTGAGGCTGTGGGTTCAGTACCCCCAATGAAAATCAAAAATAAAAACCCCTGGATTTTATCTGATATTAGGAAAAGCCAAGTCCCCAGACTGGTAAAAATCTCATTGGTTTCTTTAAATTTGGTTAAATATGTGAATTCTGTGAGATTTCCTAAGGAAAAGTTTTTCTCTTTAAGGAAGTTTCACTAACTCCCTCTGAGTGCTGACAATAAAATAATTGTGAAGAACCCTATCATAAGTTAATTGAAAAATTATTCCATTTATTTTTTTACTTATTCAAGAAAAATGGTATTTTTTAAAATCACTTATAGAAAGTATGTCTTCAAGAAAGAATATTCTAGATGTGCCAGCAGTTCATATGTAATCGTGAGTGATTTGATGTATATTGGGCATTGGCAAGGAAGGAAGAAAGGAAGGAAGGAGGAATGTGAGACATAAAAACAGTCACCATAGAAACTTCCTTGTCTGCCTAATTGGGAAGAGACTACTACAGAGTTCTCAGACACATGTGTCCTCTTCCCCTAGAAAGAAGTGATAAGTCTCTTGTTTTATTTAAGTTACATTTAAGCACATAAAAATTCATTAGTGAGCAGTCTATGTGAAGGCAGCTTAGAAAATGGTGGTAGATTTTAAATCTACCTAAAACACCGTGTTATAAAAGACAAAAAGAATTGGCATTAAATAATAAAGACAAGAGAATTTAATTGACAATATGGTTGAGAATAGTTTAAAGTTAGAAAAGGTGTGAATTTGAATTTAAGGCTTTATACTGGTAGAATTTCTACTCGAATGTGCTTAGTCTCTGAACATTTATCTGGCAGTTATTTATAAGCAATGAATTATTTTATCTACCTTAATAATTTATTTTGAACTGAGCACTTACACAAAAAATTATATAAGCCATATGAGCCTTTTCAGGATGATTGTTGTATGTTCACTTCCAAGACCTTAAACTAACAAATAGCCTGAGGATTATCCTGGTCCTGGATTTATTTTCTAGATATGCATTTTATCCAACTCTGAACTATTCAGTGTAGTACTATTTCACAAGAGGCTGAGCAAAAAAACTGCACAAGGTAGACTTTGGCACACTAATAGGCAGCAGAGTAATCTAGTGTGTAGTTTGGCATAGCAAGTTGTATCTTTTTCAAATTCTTGCCACCAGTGTAAAATGCAAATATGTTTTCTTATCTTCCAGCCATGCAGGATGTAGCTATTTGTAACATAATAAAATATATATATTTGGCTTCTGCTCCCCATTTTCTGCCATAGAATGCCAAACCCTTGTAATGTTCGGAGCCATAAAATTGTTTCCTACTTCTTCTGTGGCCAATAGCTGATCTGTAACTCCTGCTCCTGACTGAGTTTCTTGGAACTCCCTTGGGATTCCCTGTGTGTTAGGAGCATCTGTTGTCCTATGAAGTCCTCCTTGGGTAGGGGAGAGAAAGTGAGAACTTTTCCTTTCCCATCACAAGGATCATGGCTGACATCCTTAGAACAAAGACAGGTTAATAAGAGAAAAGCATAGCAAATTTATTTAACCAGAGTTTGATGTGATACAGAAGCCTCCAGAAATGAAGACCCAAGGATTCAGACAAACTGCAATTTTATGATGAGTTTTGATGAAAGATAGACAGCTCTGTAGAAAGGGATGACCTCATATTAGTCAGCTATGTTGCTGTGATCAAAATACCTGACAAGAACAATTTAGAGAAAGAAGATTTATTTTGGCTCATGGTTTCAGAGTATTCAGTTCATGATCAGCTGACTCCAAAGTGGACACATCATGGTGAAAGGGTATGCCTGAGGAAAGCCACTCAGCTTATGGCAGCCAGAAAATAGAGAGTTGGGAGGCCAGGGGACATTATGAAGGTACCAAAACCAGACATAGTCCCCAAGGGCATACCCCAGGGACCTACTTCCTCCAGTCATGTCCCACCCACCTATAGTTACCACCTAGTAGTCTGTTCAAAGTATTAGTCCTTCGAATGGATTAATCCACTGATGATGTTATAAGCCCTCATAATATGATCATTGCCCCAAAGTGCCCAAAAGCCCCACCTCCCAACTTTGATGTACTGGGGAATGCTTTCAGTGCATGAGCTTTTGGTGAAACAGTCCAGATCCAAACCCTTAAGAGACCTAATAGTAATAAACTAGAGCAGGGTGGGAAGTAGTCAGATCTTTCTGTTCATATTCTTCTTGGCCTGTCTTGTCTGTGTAATATTCCTTCCTCCTGGGAGTGGGGCAGTATACCTGTCCCCTGAGGGTATACAAGCAAAAGAAATTCAAAGAGTCTTTTTGTTTCTGCAATGTTCTCAGTTTTCTTCAGTTCAAAATATGCATATGACAAAGTGCTGTACATTGGGGTGTTGTGTTGTGAGTCCCAGCATTGGTCGTCAGAAAGACTAAGTCATGGTTACAACTTTGGAACTTTCACCCATACTGCTGATCATCTGGGAGAAGGAAAAGAGTTAGAGACTGAGTTAATATCCTAGAAGGCTTTCATTCTGAAGCCTCTATAAAGTCCCTAAAAGATAGGATTCAGAGAGCTTCAGTGTAGGCTAATCCCCAGACATGGCATGAATGCTCCCCACTCCCAATCCTCTATTTGAAAATCCTCTATCTGCAAACTCTTCCATCGATGTTCCTCGATTGTATCCTTCTATGATAAACTAGTAATCTAGTAAGTAAATTATTTTTCTGAGTTCTTCAAGACACTCTAGCAAATTACCAAAACTTAGGAGAGAATTCCTGGAAACCTCCAATTTGTAATCAAGCAAGAAGCTGTGGGTAACCTGAGAACCCACCACTGAGAACCACTGGCTTTTCATGGTAGCTCTGTCCCTGGATTTCAGTCCACTTTGACAAAAAAAAAAAAAAATCAAATAAAGATAGAAGTGATTTATCAAGCGGCATCTTAAGTGGAGGAGGCAGTCTTTGGGGACTAAATCCTTAACCTGTTTGTTTATGCAAACTCTCAGGAGAGAGAGTCCGTTCTGAACTACGGAACATCAGTTGGTGTCTTTAGAGAACTGGAGAAATTTTCATTGAAAAAAAAA